CCGACCAAACCAATTTGTCAAAAAGCCATACCCTTCTTCCCCAGTCACCTCCGAACTTCCTTTTCCCAATTGCCCATACCTGTCCTAGCACTTTCGCTCCCTTCTTCACTCTCTCTCTTACATGTTCCTCCTGATCTCCATCCTCTTAACTACATACCCCAGAAACGTATACTTTTTAATTTCTTCCACTTCCTCTCCCATCCATCTCCAGCTCACTTTTTTAAACCTCCCACCTCCTTTCCTACATCTCATCACCTTTGTTTTCCTTATGTTTACCTCTAACTCTTTCCCTTCCACATATCTCTCCAGCGTCCTCATCATGCCTCTCATCTCATCTTCCTCTCTCGCCATTAACACCACATCGTCCGCATACGCTAGTGAGAACAATTTCTCTCTCCCCCCCAGCCCTACTCCCCCCTCTGCCCCTCTCTAGTTCTTCATCTAGGTTCGCCAGGAAAAGGACAAACAGGAGGGGGCTGAGCGGGCATCCCTGCCTTACCCCCTTCTCTGTCCAGAACTTCTCTCCTACCTCCCTACCTACTCTGACTCTGTTACGTGTTTCCTCTATCACTACCTCGCATCTTCTCACTAGCCCTTCCGTTACCCCTCTTTCCTTCATACTCTCCAACAATTTCCCCCTGTCTACCGAGTCAAAAGCCGCCCTGAAGTCTACAAAAAGCAGCATTAGCTTTCCTTTCTTTTTCCCTACCTCTCGGTTAATCAGGTAATTTAGCACATAGATGTTGTCCACAGTTCCCATTCCTTTCCTAAAGCCTGCTTGACTCGGTGGCAGCAACCTTTTTCTTTCCACCTCCCTCCTCAGTCTCCTTTCCAGCACCCCTACGTATACTTTGTACGCCGTCTGCGTCAGTGTGACCCCCCTATACTCCTCCACCTTTTTTCCCTCCCCCTTCTTCACTATAGGAACTACTACGCCTTCCTTCCACCCTTCCGGCCACCCCTCTCCTCTCCACACTCTCCTACACATATCCCATAATGCCCTCTCCATATTCTCTCCTCCGTACTTCCACACTTCATTTGGAATTTTATCCTCCCCCACCGCCTTCCTGTCCTTCAGTCCCTGCACCACCTCCCTTACTTCCTGCAGTGTGACGTCTTCTTCATCTTCAATCATCTCTCTTTCTAATACCTCCCCTCCCCTCACTCTCTCCTCCGACCCACCCAGCACACCTCTGAAATATCTATCCCATTCATTCATCCTGATGTTCTCATTCACGCCCTTCCTTCTTTTTCTTCTCTTATTTACTACCTTCCATACCTGCCCCTCCGTCCTTATTGCCTTTATCTCCTCTTCCCACTTCTCCCTTTCCGCCTTCCTCTTGTCATCACACAGCTTCTTGTACCTCCTTTTTTCCTCTCTGTACCCTACTTCACCCCCCTTCCCTTTCTTGAACTCCACCAGTTTCTCTTTTAAAATCTCCTTTCCTTCCCTACACTCCTTCCCACCATCCACTCCTCCGTCCTTTCTTCTTCAGCTTCTCAGTCTCCTTTAGCCCCTCTACAATTTTCTCTCTCAAACTCTCCCACTCTTCCTCCACGCTCCGCTCACCCCACTCCCACATCCCTACCTTTTCCTGAAACAGCTCTTTCCCTCTCTCTGTCCAGACGCCTCTGGTTACCCCTCTTTCCTTCATACTCTCCAACAATTTCCCCCTGTCTACCGAGTCAAAAGCCGCCCTGAAGTCTACAAAAAGCAGCATTAGCTTTCCTTTCTTTTTCCCTACCTCTCGGTTAATCAGGTAATTTAGCACATAGATGTTGTCCACAGTTCCCATTCCTTTCCTAAAGCCTGCTTGACTCGGTGGCAGCAACCTTTTTCTTTCCACCTCCCTCCTCAGTCTCCTTTCCAGCACACTACGTATACTTTGTACGCCGTCTGCATCAATGTGACCCCCCTATACTCCTCCACCTTTTTTTCCCTCCCCCTTCTTCACTATAGGAACTACTACGCCTTCCTTATCCTTCGACACCCATTCTGCCACTGGGCCTTCCCCACTCCTATCTAACACCATAGTCTGCATCAATGTGACCCCCCTATACTCCTCCACCTTTTTTTCCCTCCCCCTTCTTCACTATAGGAACTACTACGCCTTCCTTCCACCCTTCCGGCCACCCCTCTCCTCTCCACACTCTCCTACACATATCCCATAATGCCCTCTCCATATTCTCTCCTCCGTACTTCCACACTTCATTTGGAATTTTATCCTCCCCCACCGCCTTCCTGTCCTTCAGTCCCTGCACCACCTCCCTTACTTCCTGCAGTGTGACGTCTTCTTCATCTTCAATCATCTCTCTTTCTAATACCTCCCCTCCCCTCACTCTCTCCTCCGACCCACCCAGCACACCTCTGACACCACTCCTTTCCTAGCTTTACCTCTCTTTCCCACCACCCCTGCTGTCCGCACTCCCCTATTCTTCCCAATTCTATATCTTTGTCGGTGATCTTTCCACTTTCCTACTCCTCTTGAAAACCTCCGCTTCGTCCAACTCTCTTGTCTGCCTCTTCTCTCCTTCTGCCTCCCTTTCTTTCCTCTTTCCCGTCAAAATTGCTCCCACCAGATCTCCCTCACTTGCTGTCCTCCCTATCCGTACTTTCTCGAGTGTTAAATTCCTTTTCAGACCCCTGCCCTCTTCTTCCATAATCGCTTCCTTCCTTACCTGCTCCCGTCACTCCCTTCCTTACCGGCCCACGCTATCCTGACCGCCTGCCCT